AGTTGAGCTTATGAGACAAAGAGTGCTGGAAGACCCACACTGTGTAAACTGATTAAATTGCAAATACAAGAGACAGCCATCGACTTCCAGTTATCCGGGCTGTAGGTAACTCGGGCACGTTTATTCCAGTGGTGCGTGGTTCCAGTGTGTTCCTACCAGAGGATACGCTGTTCGTGTGAAGGCCTGCTGTGCCAACCCCTGATAAAAGTGCTGCCTGCCCTCCGTAAAAATCTGTTTACAGAATTGTGGGAAGGGTTGCTCATTTATTAAGAAGATTATTCATGTTTCATTTGTGTACATATCCTAGCTTTCTTCTATCCAGATTATCCTTCTCTTCCTCACTGTATTCCAGAGAGATCAGAATTAATAAAAAAGCCATACCTGTGTTCTTGAGTGACTCCTGGATATACATGTGCATGAATTCAATGCCGAACATTTCCTGTTGCTCCTCCTCTTCTGTATTCTCACAGGGAGGGAGTGTAACCTCTAACTCCAGAGGGTTGTCTCTGAAGTTGACAAATCTGACAGGTCACCAAAAAAGGTCACTCTTGCAATAGGTTTTGTTCAGAGAGAACCAACTCTTTTGAAGCTGAATTAAGATTCCTCAAACAGTATTTTGAGCAAAAGAAAATAAGTCTTTTATACACTAAACTCCCCACTGTATTAGTAGTATTAAGTAAACTAAGCTGAGATGCCTTATAATAACAGTAGCTGATTGTGGTGGGAGAAAACAGTGCAGTCCTCATCATTTTGTCTTCAGGCTTTCACCCGATCATCAGCCTTACTGAGCTTCCACAAACAGATGCGTGGATGAGAACAAGAATGCAAATGCCTGCATCTTCCCAACTTTGAAAGGCAATAGCCAGCCCTGTCTCCCCTTGTTCCTCGTCCATCCCCAAGCCTGTGCTTGTATGTATTTGTTTAAAGAGGTGCTGCTGCTTCCAAAACATCTGAAAACAGGAATTGTCTTAGTGGGTTAGACGTGATTTAGTTAAACTAGCCGTCCTTCTCTAAAATGGCCAGCATCCAGTAATTCAAAAGAAAATGCAAACAACAGGCAAGTTTCTGTCACAGTATACAAAATTGTATTTCTAATTCTACCAATTAAAAACTTATATTCATTCTTTTTTATTTTTAATAAAAAAAAATAAAATCCATAAAATCCAATGATCCATATCCTTATAGCTAATCCTTTTTGTTTAATTCTGAATGCTTGACTTCTCAGTGCCAAAGTTCTACTTTTTGACACTATTCTGCTTGTGACATATTTTCCGTCCTAGCTCTTGGCTTTAGAGTGTCACCTAAAAGGCCAGTTGGAAGTGGGCATTTGGACCTTTTGGAAATTAGAAAATATATTAGTCTCCTTTTTCATTTGGGACTGTAACTATCATAGCTTACTTCAAATGAGTTGTGCTACATAAAGCGTTCTTGACCAGATCCTCCACTACTGTTGTGAATCTGTGTAATTATGCTGATTTATATGATAGTGTGTCCATCTGCACAACTGTGGACATGCCTTTTCCACTCCAGTTCTGTAGTATCACTCTGTGATACACAACTCGAGGGAGGCCTTAAAACTTATCTTCTAGTATTTTTATTTATATTTCTGTTGGTTTTTCTTACCTCAGATTTGTCATGTCCTTCATACAAGCTGGAATATCCTTAAGTTTGTTGTTGCTAAGAACAAGAGTACTAAGATTTTTCATATTGGCAATGGTTTCTGGCAAAGAGTTTATCTCATTCCTTTGGAGCCATAAAGTGTGCAGATTTTCCATTCTGTAAAACAGGTATTTGTGCAATCAATCAAGATCTAGAAAATTAATCTTATCAATCATTAATATAAAGTAATTGAATTATTTTTACAGCCTCATAGAGGACTCTTATAAAGAACACAATTCTCAAAGGAAACTCCATAACCAAGATAATCACCTAACCAGTGGTCAAAAATGTCATTGGCAAGAAATATTTAACTTGATAATTGATAATGTATTGTTTATTGAACAGATTATTCCAGCTCATCCAAAAATCACATTAGTGCTGATAAATCTTAAGTTTGCAGTAAGGTCAACATTAAAATAATCTTTTGAAGTAGGATTTAATAATTAGCATTTCAATGCAATGGAATTGAGACTGAGATAGGAGTTTTGAGCTTTATTTACCTGTCAATTGCATCAGGAAGCTCCTGGAGTTTATTCCCCCCCATATCTAACCATTCTAGGTTTGGCATGTTGAGAAGAGCTGAAGGGATGGTGGTAAACTGATTCATGCACAAATCTATGTGTGAAAGCTTCTTTAAATCACTGAGCTGAAAAGAAAGGGAGATATAATGCAACTTTGTAGAGCTGTTCCGGGACAGCAGTGCTGTAGTAGTGTTGACTGGAAAAAAACCCAACCCAATTTAAAAACATTACAACACATTTTGGAGTTAGTAAACACAGTTTCTGAGTTACATTAGCTGATGCTACCCAACAGTTGCAGTTCTCACCTGGAAGGTGGGTAGGTTTGAAACTGATCAGGCAGAACTTTCTCTCCCACCCTAACAGCTCAGAAGGTGACTGTCATGACTACAATGCAGATATACCCCAAGCCTTGAGAAGAAAAGGCCTTTAAAGGCACCACTGTCCTTTTAGTATTTCATACTGCACGCAATACGCCCTTTTTCATTAGGCAAGTATTTAGATTTTTATGGATCGAATTGCATGGACTGTATTTTAGAGTGAACCCAGACAGCTTCCATGGTGTAAAGTCTCCTGCTATGGCAAGACATTCTAAAAATTAAACAGCATCATTCAGTATTGCAACACCTATGTCC